CAGTGCGGGGCTCGCAGGTGGTCAGGAGTGAACTGAGGAGCGAACGGCCTTCTAATATGCCTGCATAGATGGCCAGAAAATGGAAAGTTCAAACCAGGGCGCAAAACTTGTGGGGTAGGTGATTTAAAACATGAGCGCTGGTGAATGTACTCAAATCGGAATAAACAATTGTATAAATAAAAATTTTAATAAAATGCACTCACTTACATTTGTATTAGAGAGGGCCGTGGGAAAGGTAGGCTCACAGGAGGATCGAGTGGTTTAGGATCAGGGGCTGGAGAAATCTCAGACGGTGTCGGCTGTTGTTGGAGAGTAAAGAACTAAGAGCTGGAGGGAGGCTAAATAGTACAGAGACTGTGTCCGTGTGACTTCTGTATGGACCGGAGTCGGGACACTGTGATGTTAGATATGGGTCACTGGTGCTTCAGCTGTGCAAACACCTGTCCCTGCAGCTGACAGGACGGCGTTTGAACAGAGAGCGGTCCTGTCTCTGGAAGTCGGGTGGTAGCGGCGCATGTAGCGTCTGGCCGTGTGTGCGGGAGAACTGTTAAAAAAGCTGTGAAAGGCAGCTTGCTATACGAGTCAGGTGTAGAGAAGGGACTCGTGAGACACCGGGGAGCGACGCGTTTCGAGAAAGCCTCTTTCTAAAGCTCCAGCGGTGTTACAAGTGGCGGGAATCCGCCGTTTTTTAAAAAAAGTGACAGCTGGGCGGGGCTAAGCGGTAACTCCGCTGTGTGCTGTGTTTGAATGGATAAGGGTGTAAACTCATGTATTGCGGCTGCGGGCACCGCTGGGGACAATTGGGGGTCAAGAATGAACAGTCAGTAAACAGGGCAGTTTGTATTGATTTTGAGGATGTGGATTTGTGTTGAATTAACTATATAGGTGTGTGGGGGGGGGAAATTAAAGCGCTATAAATCGATATATAAAAGAAAAAAGGGGAAAGAAAAAAAATGGGGGGAATGGATGTTTTTATTCTTGTTTAAGAGAGGTTGGGGAGATGTGCCTAGAGGCAGAGTGGTAGTGCATCATTTTAGTAATTTGGGGGAATTGGAGAAATTATAAATTGCAAAGAAATATGGGTATAAATAAAAATAAATATAAAACTAAAAGATAAATATAATTTTGTTTAATTACATTAGATGAAAATAAAAATGTTGAAGTTGTGTGTGCGTTTATGAAATTCAAATTATGATTCAAAGTTGGGGGTTTTTGGTGCAGGTATGCGAACCTTTTGGAGTTGTATGTGACTGGCTGTATACGTGTGTGAATGTTCAAATGATGGTTAGTATTTCCAACTCTCCATTGAGTCCAGTGGGGGCAAGGGTGTTCAGGCGGTAGATCCGGAAGGTTTCTTGTCTGCAGAGTCTCTGAAAGCGTTCTGCGGGGGAGTAATGGTCCGGGATTTGTTCGATGGCGAATAGGTGTAAATCCTGGATGCATTTTCCATGTTTTTTGCCAAAGTGTCGTGGGACACTGTGGTCGCAGTCCCCGTCGGCAATGAATCGTCTGTGTTCCCCTATCCTCTGCATGCTGTAGATGGCCGCAGCTGCCAGGTCGCAGCTGGCCCAGATTGACATTGGGCCTATTTGCAGGGGCAGCCTGGAGCAGGAGCTCCACCCTACCCCATGTTAATCCGTCCCTACTGCCAGCACAGTACGGACTGGGTATAGATGTTAATATTAACCAGGCACCTTGCTTTCCAGAGCAAAACTCAGTACAGAGAACACTTTTTTTTCAGAGCAGAACATTTTATTGTGCTCTATTCTGAAAAAAATAAGTTATGCTATGTGAATGAGAAACATGTAACAATTATAAAATAGGTGTTATCTTAATTTGGCTGCAAAAATGGAAATATACTTTAAAGTTCCAAGAACTGACATTTGTCCTTCCCTTATTTATTCGGATTGCAGTAGTCATCTCTTTTTCCAATACCAAGTAAGCAAGCCACAGCTCAACCTTTCCGCTACCATACAAGTAAGGTGAAGCACTGCCACATTCAGTGACATGCAGGCAAGTTGCTGGTATACATACATTAGCAAAAAGCCCACCTTCTCCATTTGGCAGCACATTAAGCAATAGCATTACATATGGGGAAACTAACCCATGCTATCTGCACATGTAAAACTGAACTCCAGCCTAGTTATACAAGTTTATTTCCTGTACTGAAATTGCTCTCTCTGTGATGATGCATGAGAAGCCTGAAGCAAGTCAGATATCCTGGCTGGAGGACATCCAGCATCAACTAATTACACGGCCGGCCGCTTTACATTCAAGCGATCGAGCCACTCGAGACGCCTGATCGCTTGTATTACCAGCAGCTGTCACTGCCGTTGCCGGTCCCGAGATCCGCTGTGCCTGATGCGGCCGGGACAGGAGATCTAAGGGATATCAGTACACGATCTCCCTTTGATCTACTCTCCAGTCCTGGAATGCAGGAAGTGATGTGCATTACATCACTTCCTGCATTCAGTGTCACTTTCCAGCTACAGAAGCAGATCTCTGCATCATCAGCTAAAGGGGTCTTAGCCCCCCCCCCCCCCCCATGTGATAGCAATAAAGTGTAAAATAAAATAAAAAAGTAATACAAAAATTAAAGAATCATGAAAAAATAAAATCAAAGAAGCATTAAAAAAATTAAAGAAAAAAAATGTTTAAGTCCTCCGTCCCCCCACATACACATATGCGTCGGGTGCGCCTGCGTGCGAAAACAACGATTGCGCCTATTGTGCCGCACATGTTACACATAACCGCCAACGTCGGAGTGTGAGCAATAATTTTGGGGCCATTAATTACTGATAACACTAAACTGATGGGCAGTTTTAAGCGTCGCCTATGGCCAATTTTCAGTGTGGTCATTTTTTGCGATTTTGCGGGCGCACGCAATTTTAAAGCTTGACATGCTTGGTGTCTTTTTACCCGACGTGACCCCGTCTTTTATATTTTACCAAAAATATCGGTAAGAATAGATGTTTTATAACATAACGTAGGGGGGGGTGCAAGGCTATAGTCCGGTCATGCTGACGGGTGACATTTTTGACTGACTGGTGAGACACCCTAACATTTTTCAAGCCCTGACCATAGGGATACTATATACTACAAACTGTTCTGGTCTGGACATGGTCCGGACATGGTGTGAACAAAACCACAAATCATTTGCACAACTGGAAGACTACCAAACACAAGGCTTTTAATAGCTGTCAACATGTAACTGCAAGTAAGACATTTAAAACAGCTAAATAGACAATCAACGTCTGCTCAATTTCACTGAAAGCACTCTAGAGCTCTTAAGCTCCATGAAGGTACTACTGTCTCTGTTTCCTTCTTTGTAAACAGTCCACTCTCAGTTAATCTACTTTGGTGCTAATAAGCAAGCAAATCCATTAAGGATTTTACAAGGCCAGACACAACATGAAAATATAGAGCATGCAGTCCAAGCATCTAGTGTGAGTAAGGTAAGGGCTTACCCCAAACTCTTCTTTATACATAAAGATGATGGGTAAAATGTAACACATAAATGGAGTTAATGTATTTCAATGACACTGAAACATTTGTCTATACTTGTCCTTAGTATTTGCACTTTCAGAAGCAAAAGTAGCCCTAACCAATCCTCTGTCCAAAAAGAAAACACTCACTCTATGTCTTCACTGTATCTGTCATCATGTTCAAGGATCCATTCCTGGACAAACTTAACCTTTTAATATGTACATCATGCTAATGAAAATATAAACCTAAAGATGTATACACCGCTGTCATAAAAGGTTTCACCTGACTGGAAAGCTTGTACACTGAGTTCAATTCATAAATTCATCTACATTTGTTATTGAACGCAATGGTTGCCAAAAAAAATTCAACCCTGATCGCCAGCCTGCAAAGTTATGACACCGCATTATAGGTACTGCCAAACATTGTCCTTTAAACAGATGAAAGGCAGCATCTGGTATTAATTAGTCCATACCTATTCAGCTTATACTCAAGTACCCTTGACCTCCTTGACCATCAGCAAATTCATTTGTAGAATTTATATTTGCACATAAGCTTTCTTTGTCTTTCAGATATGGGTTGCTGTTCACACTGGTTGAATTTCTATATAGCTGGGGAATATCCCAGGACACAGGGGATATTAGTAAACTACGAAAATCAATTGTTTTGCAGTTCTTGATAAACTAACATTTACTTCGGCTGGCATCTAATTTTATGACACTATCATTTTCTCAAGCAATTGTCCTCTTTGTTTTATCTGCTCTGAATGATGTTATGCAACATTCGATCTAAATGTTCTATGCAGATAGGAATACAAGACAAAAGTGTTGGGAAGCTGGATTTTACCAGATTTGGCCACACACAAGACATTCAGCACCCAAATCACTTCTAGATCTCACAAAGGGCAACGGGAGATCTACAATTAAACCCTTGCCGACCGATGATGGGATTATCCGGTCACGATTGTTCAGTTCGTTAACGACCAGTGACGAGATAATCCCATCATTCGATACAATAAGAGCTAGTCTGTTAGGGGACCAGCGCTCATAGAGTTACTGCTGTTGACGGGTCCCTCGAGGTCCGAGGCAGAACCTTAACAGCAGATTAGGTGGTCACAGTCCTGTGATCACAGCGAGAGCTGATCGCAGAGCCGTGACAGTCACAGAGCCGGTCACACCTCACTGTGTTTGTAAACTGCTAGCCGGCTGTGTGATACAAAGTATCTCTGAGGAGAATGCTGTATACTACTCAGAGATACTAAGTATCAAAGTCAATGTAAATGAAAAAATAAACCCTTAGTGCCCCTAGTTAAAAAAATTAATAAAATGTAAAAATATATTTCCTGCCGCGATACCGCCCATGATTGCGGTTTAAAAAATCACTTTGCAGACAAAATTAAATACCAAACTCTAGAAATAGTGCTAGACTATTACACATTTGGCAAAACAGATATATTTGATGATATATGGTCAATTCTATAAAAGCTGAAATGAAAGGGAGAAAAGGAAGCCACTTACATTACCATTACATTCTCTCCACGTGTCAGCAAGGCTATAATTTTTAAAGAATTCCAAGAGTTGAGCCCTGTGCGAACCAGACAGCCTGTTCTGGACCTGTGGAGATTTATCAATAACAAGTTACATTGTAAAATCATAAACTCTGCAGGAAAAGAAAAACTATACTGGGCATAACAAAACAATTATTTTCAATGTGTGGAAGAAATGTCTTTCTTGGAGAAACATTATATTCATTAGTTTTTTGATCTAATCAAGACGTGTTTTCTTTTTCTTGGGTAATATAAACTCTTGTTACTGTAAGGAAAAGTATCTGCCAAGTGGTTTCTAAAGAAGACTTGGGAATTGCCAACATGGAACCGGAGCCAAAAAGATGTAAATACCTACACACAAAAGCAGTGATGGTGCTTCCGTAGACTCATCAAATCATCTCTGAATTGGCGCTGACACTGTCCTTCCTTCTGGACGGTGGCTACTTTTGTTCCCCATGGTCCCTGTGTGTGTTGTAAAGTAGCCACCGCTCCAAGATCACTCCTGAGATAGACTACAATCTCATACTAATTTGTATTGAAGTTATAGTCTATCATAGGAGTGAGCTTGGAGTGGTGACTACTTTACAACTCACACAGGGACCATGGGGAACAAAAGTAGCCACCCTCCAGAAGGAAGGACAGTGTCAGCACCAATTCAGAGATGATTTGAGGATCTACAGCCAAGTGATACACAAATAAGATACATTTTTGTTAACAGTTTTTGGGTACTAGAATGCATTTTTAAGATTTAACTCCTGCTTTTAGTGCCACTTTAAGCTGGCTATATACTGTTAGTTCCCTTGATTCCCCCATCGATGCTAACACCGCAGATGCGGAAATTCCACTGCCCGACTATTATATTCCAAAAGTGGCAGGTATGCCACTGTTTGTGTAATATTTTACAGACCAGCTCTTTCAACAAAAGTAAACCGAAAAATCAGCTTTTGGTGAATAGAGACGGACCCGACGCAGCCATGCACTGGTCGCATTACGGCCAAGTCGACCAGCTAAAGTAGCCTAGGAGTTACTCAGTAATAGCTACAAAATCAACAGCGCCCAGCCACCATATAAGTGCATCCACTGTTCTCTGCTGGACATGCTCATTGCATGCTTCTCCAAAAGCTCCCAGTCACTATTTACAATAAGAGGCTGGGGACGGGCTTCTGATAATGTGATCGCTTTCATTGGCTGTCACAACAATCATATGATCAGGAGCCTATCCCCAGCTCCTGTCATTAGGTTACTTTTAAAGGGCCTGCAGCACGGGATTAGTGTGTATTGAAATTGTAGTCCATCACAGGAGTGAGCTTGGAGTGGTGGCTACTTTACAACACACTCCGGGACCATGGGGAACAAAAGTAGCCCCCCTCCAGAAGGAAGGACTGTGTCAGCACCAATTCACAGATGATTTGAGGATCTGCAGCCGAGTGATACACAAATAAGGTCCAGTATTGTTAATAGATAAGATACTTGAATGTATTTTAAGATTTGATTCCTGAGTTTAGTGCCACTTTAAGAATAAAGAGTGTTTAGGTTATTGCAAAGGCCACTCTTCATCTTTATACATCTGTGTGTCTGGGTAGCTATCTGTCTTGAGCAGTAGTTGAATAGGGGGGGGGGGGCACAAAAAATGTTCTAGCACAGGGCCTCTTTGCTGACTATGTCCACCGCTTTAAAAAATAAAAGTACCTAGAGCCATCTATGGGAAAATCTGTCTAGCACACATTGGCAAGAAGCAAAACACAGGAGAACATGGAGTAGCAGAGATGACCACAGGTAATATCAGGAGACAGATAATAAAACTGGGTGCACAAGGGTGAATCACAATAACATGCATGACGCATATCCTGCCCTAATACAGAACCTATTCTAGAAAAGGTACAGCACATACTTCTTCAAATCCAAAATATGGTTAAAGCTTTTAAAAAAAACAACAAATCAGCGCCTCTGGGGTATGCACATAATACAATGATGATAAATACGGGAGCATGCTAAACTATAGGATTCTGCATGACATTCTGTGTGACAGCACATCTGGAACATCAGCATCTTGATGCACACAAAGGATCACACCATTCTCGTTCACTACAAGCATTTGGGATGTTGTGAGTGATGTCATTGTATGAAATGCCATCAAAGAAAGTTCAATGATTGACATTGGTAAATAATCCAGGGCCACTGAGATTTCACAAGAGATATACATGCAACATAGAAACTCTGTAGGGATCGCCAGTAAAAAGATTATTTGTAAACAACATCAGTTGCATAAAAAGAAAAGACATGTAATCCATTGTTTACCATTTGGTACGTTGTACAGTGTATCTGGAGCATTTGTTGAATAATAACCATGTGGTAATGTGCAGGCCGATGTGTCACAATTAAAAAAAAAAGGGCTTAATAAAACAACCCCCTGTAGAATAGCCGGTCTGCCTGCATGACTTAAGAGCAGGTCATGTGGACATGCTTATGAGACGTTGTATTTTGCACACAGCGCTGAGCAGCGTGGTTTGCAAACACATACACAGAAAAAGAGGCCCTGTTAGGCTCAACTCACCGCAGATGGTGTCATACCTCCCAGCTGCAGGTCGGTGACGTCATAGCTCTGCCGCCGTCGTATCCCAGGCAGCCCCGGTGGCAGGAGCTGGGGGAGCCGGGGCTGTCATGTCTTTTTCTCACATCCCCGATTTACACTTTGGTCCCGGCCGCCACAACCGACACAAATAACCCCTGTGTAGGGGAAGTGGTACAGCCCGCCTTCAGCCGCTGTCAGCCAGAGTCTGGCCGCGCCCACCAAAGAGGCGGCGAAAAACGGGGGGGGGAAGAGGCTGTAAGAAAGGCGCTTGTAAAGAACGTAGCGTGTAGCAGGCTACTTGCTGTCCGCTGTCATCACTGGGACGCGCCTATGATACTGACAGCGACTAGGAACCTCCCACTAGTGAAATGGTAGCGCTCATCTGTAGTATAGCCTTGTCAACGCCGGGTCGCGCTCATTACGAGGAGAAGGAGGAGTTAGCAGATTCAGTCCCTAGTGCATTTGCTACAGGGGGTTACTTGTAGTCCCTATAATCTGTGGCATAGGTAGTCACTGATCGCGCCGCTTTCTAATAGAAATGGCATAAGAATACGGGCTACTAATTCTAGGCAGAGAGTGGTTGTGACACTGAAAGAGAATTACTGTCCTATGGCATGGAAGGGCTAAGCGAGCACATATAGTTGGTCCTCGGTACAGACTACATATATCACTTTTTCTTTTGCTGCAGTTTAGTGCTGCTGAGCTCCTGCAGGATCTTTGCAGCTGTTTAATTTCTACATACATATGATTTATCAAAACTGAAGCAGCTGTGCATGGCAACCAATCAGCTTCTCTCTTTCATTTTCAAAGCTTAACTGAACAAAGTGAAGAGAGCTGATTGGTTACTGTGGGCAACTGCTCCAGTTTTGATACATTGCCTTCATACTGTCCAGCAAAGGCTTCATGGCATTTCTTGGGCGGGTTTCATAATGGCAACAGCATCACCAGGTATTGTTTTTTTTTTTTTCAAATCTCGGTTTATTGAGCAAGAAAAAATAAAACAATAGGTTGGTATAATATCAAATCGTAAAGGTCTGCACGCAGGCAACCAACTTGTTCAATATAACATACAAGAATGTACAAAACATAATGGTGTACCTAACTTCAAAACGAGGCAACACAGTTAAAGGCACAGTGGCATATCACCAGTTCCTGAGCCCATCAATTAGCATCGAGCAAGCCACTGGTCAAGTAGCGTAGTATACCCTATATAAGGCACATAAATTTGCAGCGCATACTAGTTTGCGACCGCGTTGGGGGTGCCGTTTCCAGAGTAAAGGCTGGAACCTTTGTTCATCCGGCTAATTGAGCCCTCTCCGATACATTCTAAGGAGTTATGGCAAACCGGAAGTTCTGTTGTTCTGTGTAGACAGAGCCCCCCAACACGGGAACATCTTTTCATCGGGCAACAATCATTATTCAGGGAATGAATACATCCACAATGGATGTAAAAGAAGAGAAGTCGAGAAGAATTTTAGCAAGTGTGGAAGGAAAAAAGAACAGAAGGTTGGGGAAGTACGAGAAGGGGGGGGGG